ACAGTCATTAGGGTATGTGTGTGTGTGTGTGTGTGTATCTACATATAAAATAATTTACAAGATCTATCCAACCTGAGAGTGTGGGAGGTTCAGGAAGCAACCAGTGTCTCATTATAAAAACTTTCTTGCAGGCAGATGTAAAAATAGCAAATAAATCCTTATCAGCAGATCTGGACAGGAAATCACAATTCTCCAAAAATAAAGAGATCTGAGATCAAACAGTCTGCCTTCACCAAAGTCTGTGTTGATGTTAGAAATGACTCCAGCCTCCTACCAGTTACTGAGAAGGCTACGGTTATATTCCCATCCACAAACATCTCACCTTCAGGTATCTGACGTGTCCTCGTCTCATTGCCATGGAACCAGGTCGTGATGTTTGCTGCGTCTGATGAAAAACAAAATGACTCATCAACAACTAGAGCTATGAACTTCTGTAGATTAAAAAAAAACTGTTCCAAGGATCAGACCAGGAAGCTGAACCTGTTAGCATCAACAATCCTCATGACGTCCACGTTCAAACATCTTATTATCACCTGGACCCAAACAAGGAAACCCATCATGTCGTGTCAGAGCGTTCGCCTCTCAGCATCTTTCAAACTTTTCAGAGTCAGACCCAGAGAGGTTTCGTTTTCATTTCAGCTACGTCCAGTACAGACTGAAAGAAACGGCGTTCCTCCGGGATCACGGTGCAGCACAGAACATTACGTGCAAAACAATATCGCAGATATGCAACAGTGCAATAAATACAAACAGACCTGTAACAAATGCAAAACTCTAAGCTAATCGAAACATTCTCATCTAAACAAGTAATTAAGAGACAAGACTAGAGACACATGTTGATTAGAACATGTGTAGGTGGTACATGAGGTAGAAACATGTTCTGATATGTGCTTAGCAGCATCAACTTTTTCTGTTTTTATAACAGCAGAGATATAAAATCTGAGTAAGGTGCAAAAACACAAAACCTTCAGCAGAATGTAAAAACATGCAAGTAAAAGATAAAGGTCACAAACACTGCAACTCAGTAGTTGTGTGTACGTCAGAGTCCTTCATGTGTTTGTGGGATGGACCCAGTCACACAATGTAATATTTTGGAAGGACATTAAGAAGCTCTGAATATAATAAACACACTGAACATCTGCAGCTTTCAGTTCTCAAGCTCCTCTCAGGTGAAACCAATGAGCAGCTGCTGTGAGGAGACTGTCCGTTTTGATCAATCCTATAGTCAGGGTTGGTTTGGGTTTCCTCAGCCATCCCTTAGTTCTGCTGTTATAGGTTTAAGGGTCCTACATACTCCATGCAAAGCAGAACAGTCAACCGGCGGTCAAGCAGAAGTTTGCGTTGTCTACATTACGATTACTGACGTCACTTCCTGTCAGACATTGTGACCGGCAGGGGGCCACACATAGGATGCATCTAAAGCGGCAAAAAATTATATATTTTTTTTACACAAACATGTAAAAAAAACTTGATCAGAACGTCAGCGTTTACACGAACCCAAACGTGCCGAACCGAATCAGGTCTAACGTTATAAAGCGAACACGATTTTAAGGTAGCAGGGAAAGCTATGAGAAGCTAGCAGCTAACACACCGCACGCCAAGGCCAAACGGCGGGATCTCAGGCAGCTAAATGACGTCACGGATCTTACCTGTGGAAGAGACACAGGTTAGACAATCTATGGTTGTAGGTGGACTGATCCGCACGCAGATGTAGCAAGTGAAGTTTAAAATCAGCAACACGTTCTCCGAAGACACACAGCCGCACCGCGCCACACAAAGAAAGCAAGTATCGCGAGACTTCCACACAGCGCCAAACAACCAAGCAAGTATCGCGAGATTTCCTCCTATCCACACCTCACCAACGAAGCAAGTGTCGCGAGAGTCCCGAAGTTCCGCTAATTTTTTACAACTTTTGAACAAACAAGTCATATTATATGTATATGTCTGTAAAACAAATGACATTCCCCTATGGATACACGCTAAGCTAGCTATGAGATGCTACAGACGTAGCGCTCCGCATCTCTCACTCCATCACACTGGTGTGAATATCAGTCATACAAATCTGCATGCATCAGGATAGTCATACTAACAGTTTGACAAAGCCCAAAAAATTAAATCTGGTCCTCTGGACATTCAAAAAGACAAAACAACAGCAAAAAAATGTAGAAACGTTTCATCTTTCATCCAAAACACTTCCTCAGTCTGAGGAGCTGTAATAAACTCAGTCTTATAAACATCACCTTCTCATAGTGGATCAACCAGTTTGTTGTTGACATCCAGAACTAGTTGTTCACATGTTCAAGGAGGACCACCAGTCTAACGATGGCTCATTAGTACCCTGGGGGCCGCTTGCTATTCACAGACTGATTGGGCTGTTTGGGAGTCCAAACAGGAATGCCTGTTCAATTCAATTCAAAAATACTTTATTAATCCCAGAGATTATTTATTTGTTGTTGTAACTCGTTATCCTCATTTCATTAAGAGATGTTATAGATGCTGATGCTGTAGACAGGAAGGATCTCTTGTAAAGGTCCATCCCACAGTGGATCCTAAGGATCTGGCTGCAGATGCCGTCCGATCCCTCCTCCCAGATTCGGCTGGCCTCTCGGTTCCTCCGGGCTGTAGGACCGCCCAAATGCTGGTCAGAACTCCTCCCAGAGCGATGGCCACTCCTCCCAGCAGTCTGCTGAGCTCCTCGTCGCTGCGGACAGCCAACTGTAGGTGCCGAGGGACGATCCTGTCCTTCTGCTGTCATGAGCCGTGTTTCCTGCTAGTTCCAGGATCTCAGTGGTCAGGCACTCGAGCACAGCTGGCAGGTAGATGAGAATGCATCCACAAAACATCCTTTTCAACTCACCTGAGATTTGGGGCTGTAGTTGAGATATTATTTCAGCTTTTGAGATGTTAATCAGCTGTTGGTTGTAGAAGACTGCCTTGTTGCCATGGTTACGCATCATAACAAATGTCCAAAACTAAAAAAGTTTCAGTAAAAATCCTTCCAGCTGCACAGCATCTGATACCAGAGGAAACAATCATCCAGAAACTGTGATTTACATCCAGAAAAAGAGGAATTAAAGTTTCCAAAAGCAAAATCTCAGAATGAAAGTAACAGAGCTGCTCCAGGCAGCACGGTGGCGCAACTGGTAGAGCTGCTGCCTCTCAGCGAGCAGGTCCCTGGTTCAAACCCCGGTCCAGGGGCCTTTCTGGGTGGAGTTTGCATGTTCTCTCCGTGCATGCGTGGGTTTTCTCCAGTACTCCAGTTTCCTCCCACAGACCAAAAACATGCATGTTAGACTGATTGGTAACTCTAAATTGTCTCTAGGTGTGAGTGAGAGAGTGAATGGTTGTTTGTCTCGTTTGTCTCTATGTGTTCCTGTGATGGACTGGAGACCTGTCCAGGGTGTCCCCCGCCCCTCGCACAGTGATTGCTGGACATGGGCACCAGCGACCCCCGTTACCCAAAATGGAATAAACGGGTAAAGATAATGGATGGATAGATGGATGGAGCTGCTCCAACATGCAGCCACCTGGAGCGGCGCAGTTCTAGAACTGGACTCCCAAACAGCCATCCATCTGGTGAGGAACCCAGCAGTGGTCATTCCATATGTTGCTGGAGTTTCAGAGAAACTGAGAGGTCTATTTTCTAAACATCCCAGTGACGTTATGTTCGGAAGTCTTTCAGATGAAACTTTTCTACAATTTATTGTTTTTTGAACCTGTCCAGAGGACCTGACTTAACTTTTTTAGATTTTTCTACCTGAATTATTGAGCATGCATCAGGATATAATGTCCCAGTGGCTTTTAAACCACAAAATACATTAAAGACTGGTTCATCCCAAAGATCCAGTCCCCCGGCACAAACAGAGTAATATTGTGTATGTTGTTCAGTGTCAGGAGGGTGATCAGTCTTACATCAGGGAAACTAAACAGCCACTGGCCAAAAGGATGGACCAGCACAGAAGATCAACATCATCAGGCCAGGACTCTGCGGTCTACACTCATCTCCAGGTCAGAGGTCACTCTTTCAGGGATGAAGATGTTCACATCCTGGATAGAGAGGAACGACGGTTTGAGAGAGGAGTAAAGGAGGCCATCTTTGTGAAAAGAAATCGTCCATCATTAAACAGGGGCGGAGCCTCCAGGTTCACCTGTCCCTCTCTTACAATGCTGTGATTATGGTAAGATTTTTGGCGCCTTGTTTTTGTATTTTTGTTGCATGCTTTGGTATTTGTTGTCATTTTTTTGGTGAGTCGAGAACGGTTCTTCTCGTCTTGAGCATTTCATTTCATTGTTGACCTTGTGTGTGTTGACCTTGTTGACAAGGTCTTGACCTTGACCTCTCTAAGTGGCTTTAAAAGTCTGTTGGACTCCTGGCAAGGACCAACGCAGACATGTTCCTGTTTTTAGTTTTCTACACCGCCTTAGAATCGAGCTGTTTTTTCGCTACTTTTTCATTTTCACTGTCCTTTGGTTGCTATTTTATTTTAACTTGTAAAAAAAATAATAATAATAATTGTATGCCTATTATGATTGTTTATTGTCGTTGTTGTCCACTGTTGTCATGACTCTTTGTTAAAAAAAGTCATGTCTCTTGTAAATGAGTCCTGGAGGCTCAATGGGACCAACCTTTAGAAATAAAGGTTGAATGAATGAAGAGGCGGGAACGCGCCTGTGTTTGACCGGAAATGGAAGTGTGACGTCACTGTGACGTATCCGCTGCTGCCTGTAAACAAAAACCAGTTAGCGGTTAGCATTTAGCTCCGGCGCATCCTGGAGGAGAAGAACCGAACCTTTACCGGAACCAGAGCAGACACAGCGGATCCGGATCGAAGACTCTGAGGGATGGACTAACCCCGAACCGGCAAGATGTCCATGGAAGACCCGTTCTTCGTTGTTAAAGGGTCAGAGAAGCCGAACCGAGCTAGCTACAGAACCGGCAGAGGCGTTGATTATTAACGAGACCATCTAAGCTTCAACCAGTTTACCCAATAAAACCAGTTTAACTAATCCAACTAGTAGATCCGGTTCATCCAATAGAAACAGTTTAACCAGTTTAACCAGCTTAATATAACTAGTTAGCCAATTATAACCAGTAGAACCAGTTAGTCCATGTGTTACCAGTGGAATTAAATAATTTGGTAACTGGTTCTTTTTAAATTATTTACCCTTTGTTTATTCCAACAAACTAAAGTCAGGTCATCTACCTGACTTGGATTTTTTTACCTGGATTATTGACCATGAACTTTGATCCTTTGTTTATTCATAACTCTTTGATGTTTTATGTTTGTTTTGAGTTATATTTCTAAAAACAACACATATGATTGACATGCAACTTGAATAAAAGAAATAAAACTGAAGGACGATATCAGAGTAACAGGATAAAACGAGAATAAGAAAGATGAGACAGTAAATCAGATGGTGTAAAACCAGATCAAAGAATCAAAGTGTTCAGACTATGCTAACTGGTGGCAGCAGGAGCAAAGCTGGTTTTAAAATGCTTAGTTTTACATTTTGCACCAAGCGTCTGCGTCCTGTGGGGCCTGAACTGAGACCCGTCCTTTGAAATGGATCCAGGTGTTCTGGGTACCTGCAGGGGTTCAGGGTTCTGGCCTCACCTGCTTCTCTCCTGTCAGATAACTGGACCACCACTTCGGTTCAGGTCGTTCTCATTCTGAGAGAAAGATTACCACAGCAGGACACTAAGAACTGGGAGGCAACCAGTTCACTAAAAGCTCCGTTGGTGTCTGAAGCACATTTGTAATGGGGGGGGGCTCCCTGAGCGCACCGAGGACCACTGAGCAACATCAGATGTGCACGCTGTGGTCACACACCAGTATCACCAGTACCACACCTGTTTCAAACCTGCGATCATAGCAAGTCACATGGTTTATTAACAGAATCAAATTACAGCAGCCGTTTCCATTAGTTTACTTTTAACAGAAGTGATTTGACCCACTTCAGATGAAAAACACAATAATCTTGTTGTTCACGAGACGAGTGATATGTTACATGTGAGAGCTCTGCTTTGTTCTGAGTGACGGTCCAGTTCTGGTTTTGGGTCATGGTCCTTGCTCTGGAAGATGTTTTAGCAGCGTGATGGCCAATGGCATCAGAACCATTTGTAATGTCGGGGGGACACACTGGTAGGGGGTGTGGGGGTCCTCCCCCATAACATTTTGAATAGAGTAGATGCCATTTCCTCCATTCTGCTGTATTTTAACAGGTTGTTTAACACCGAGTTTTACCTACACAAGTAACGGTTCAGTAACTATTTTAGAGTCATGTTCCCGTCCGTGCTGTCGTAAGAGTCCTGCAGTCACTGCTCAGACTCCTCCGAGCACGTTTTAGTGTCCTTCACGTGCACCTTTCTCCTCTTTAAAACGTGCTGGTAAAAGGTGGACACAGTTGTGATCATCATTGCCCAGAGGTGAAGGGGAAAAGCTCCATATGTTTCCTTCACTGACCCATAACAGAGGTCAGTAGTCTTGTCCCGCCTGATGGGACAGGACACTTACTGGGCAAAATGGGAATGTGTTTTTGAGGGAAACATTCTTCAACTCCTCTAACACAAAGCTCGGGGCGTCCTAGACTGAAGCCTCTGCACAGCAGCAGAACTAGTTCTCCAGGCAGAAGATGTGTTGGCTTTCAGGTGACAGAACCTCCCCTCGCACTCCACCAGGGTCTCTCTTTAAACTGAAACATCTTGAAGCTGAAACAAAACCCAGAACTCACAGTGGACCTCTGCAGATGACCCTGTGGGATCCCGGTTCTCAAGGGCCAAGATCCTGCATAGGCCCTCGAGGACCAGGACTGAGGACCACTTCTCACTGGAAAAGGATTAGTGGAAAAAAGGTTTTATTTTTCTAAAACTCAGATTTTGATTTCAGATTTTCAGAAATGAAAGTGAATAATGTGACCATCAGGTGTGTCAGTAGCTCCGCCTCTCTGAGTTCTGTGTTTTTTGTTTTTCAGGGAGGTGGAGAAGGCAGTGCATGCTGCTCAGAGCCTCCATCACAGGTGGAGTGAGCTGCTGCAGGAAGAGGATGGAGCCTCCAAAGAGGAAATCGACTGGACAACCAATGAGCTGAGGAACAGCCTGCGCTCCATCGACTGGGACCTGGAGGACCTCGACGAGACCATCAATATCCTTTAACCTACTGAGACTCGGGTCGCGGGCAGGTCTAACTGGTTAAATGATAAAAACTCACATTTCTTAACAGTCAGTGAAGGCATCGTGGAGTCAAACCCAAAGAAGTTCAACCTGGATGCTGCTGAGCTGACAAAGAGGAAGGCCTTCATCATCAGCACCCGACGCATCGTCAAGGTGAACATCACGTCTCACTTTGGGTCTCTTCTGAACCGACTCCTGTTTGGGTCTGGGGTCAGTTCTCCTGGTCTTCGGACACAAATGAAAATCCAGTCCTGGGTTTTGTTTTGTTGGATGTTATGTTTGATCCTGTTTTCCTGCACTTGTTGGATCCACATGTACTGAGTCTCAGTTCTGTCAAGCATGTTGCTGTGTCTGGTCCTGGTCAGAACAAAGTCCACCTCCTTCACTTCCAGAGCATCATGACAGAATTAAACTCCCCTGGGCTTTACCCATTTCTAAAATGATCCGAGCTAACCTGAAGTGAACAAAAGAGACATTTCTGTGATGGAGACTCTTCTGGAATCCTGGCTTCTTTCCTCAGACTGTCTCTTCAATCTGATTGGCTGCTGATTCTCTTCAATCTGATTGGCTGCAGAGTCTCTCTTCAATCTGATTGGTTGCTGAGTCTCTTCAATCTGATTGGCTGCCGAGTCTCTTCAATCTGATTGGCTGCAGAGTCTCTCTTCAATCTGATTGGTTGCTGAGTCTCTTCAATCTGATTGGCTGCCGAGTCTCTTCAATCTGATTGGCTGCAGAGTCTCTCTTCAATCTGATT